TCTCTCTCTGGTCTCTCTCTGGTCTCTCTCTGGTCTCTCTCTCTGGTCTCTCTCTGGTCTCTCTCTGGTCTCTCTCTGGTCTCTCTCTGGTCTCTCTCTGGTCTCTCTCTCTTGTCTCAGCAGCAGAGGTGTTGTAGCCGTTGGTGGTGTCTGCCGAAATTCTAAATTCTTTCTTATCCTTTTTTTTGGTAAATGATCATTCCCCAGTGGATTACTGCTCTGCACGCACACAAATGTACACACACCTACACACATACGTGCACACTCCCACGTGCACACTCCTACGTGCACTCTCACGTGCACACTCATACACTCCTTTCAAGTATTTGTGATGTTTTATTTTTGTGTTTTCAGTTTTTCTCAAAACCAAAACCTCCGCAAGGATTTTACATTTACGGAGACGTCGGTAAGATCAAAGACTAGACTCAAGACTAGACTCAAGACTAGACTCAAGACTAGACTCAAGACTAGACTCAAGACTAGACTCAAGACTAGACTCAAGACTAGACTCAAGACTAGACTCAAGACTAGACTCAAGACTTGAGTCTTGAGTCTAAAGTCTAAAGGCCTTTTGGTACAGACCGAGCCGAGGTCTGTGCACAAAGACCAAGGTCTGATATTTCTCTGCACAGACCGAGCAAGCGAGGTTAATAAATGTTTTATTATATGGCTTTTTATGCAAATATCGATCTGAGACTTGGTTTTCCTAATCGTGTTTTTACCTTTCTGGTCTGTAACGAAGTTGTCAATCTCGTCTTGACAGTTTGGAGTTTTCGTGGTTATTTACTGTTATTACTTCCTCTGGCGCTTCGAAGTCGTCGCTCATTCTTTCTTTACCGAGGAAAGATATCAAATCTGACCGATTGTCATGGTAACGGTCCAAGAGGGGAAAATATCAGACCACAAATCAACCAATCAGAGCGCGCGTACGATCCAAGTCATATAATATATATATATACAGTGCCTTGCGAAACTATTCGGCCCCCTTGAACCTTTCAACATTTCGCCACATTTCAGGCTTCAAACGTAAAGATATAAAATTTTAATTTTTTGTCATGAATCAACAACAAGTGGGACACAATCATGAAGTGGAACGAAATTTATTGGATAATTTAAACTTTTTTAACAAATAAAAAACTGAAAAGTGGGGCGTGCAATATTATTCAGCCCCTTGCGCTAATACTTTGTAGCGCCACCTTTTGCTGCAATTACAGCTGCAAGTCGCTTGGGGTATGTCTCTATCAGTTTTGCACATCGAGAGACTGGAATTTTTTCCCATTCTTCCTTGCAAAACAGCTGGAGCTCAGTGAGGTTGGATGGAGAGCGTTTGTGAACAGCAGTCTTCAGCTCTTTCCACAGATTCTGGATTGGATTCAGGTCTGGACTTTGACTTGGCCATTCTAACACCTGGATACGTCTATTTGTGAACCATTCCATTGTAGATTTGGCTTTATGTTTTGGATCATTGTCCTGTTGGAAGATAAATCTCCGTCCCAGTCTCAGGTCTTTTGCAGACTCCAACAGGTTTTCTTCCAGAATGGTCCTGTATTTGGCTCCATCCATCTTCCCATCAATTTTAGCCATCTTCCCTGTCCCTGCTGAAGAAAAGCAGGCCCAAAGCATGATGCTGCCACCACCATGTTTGACAGTGGGGATGGTGTGTTCAGGGTGATGAGCTGTGTTGCTTTTACGCCAAACATATCGTTTTGCATTGTGGCCAAAAAGTTTGATTTTGGTTTCATCTGACCAGAGCACCTTCTTCCACATGTTTGGTGTGTCTCCCAGGTGGCTGGTGGCAAACTTTAAACGAGACATTTTATGGATATCTTTGAGAAATGGCTTTCTTCTTGCCACTCTTCCATAAAGGCCAGATTTGTGCAGTGCACGACTGATTGTTGTCCTATGAACAGACTCTCCCACCTCAGCTGTAGTTATCTGCAGTTCATCCAGAGTGATCATGGGCCTCTTGGCTGCATCTCTGATCAGTCTTCTCCTTGTTTGAGATGAAAGTTTGGAGGGACGGCCGGGTCTTGGTAGATTTGCAGTGGTCTGATACTCCTTCCATTTCAATATAATTGCTTGCACAGTGCTCCTTGAGATGTTTAAAGCTTGGGAAATCTTTTTGTATCCAAATCCGGCTTTAAACTTCTCCACAACAGTATCTCGGACCTGCCTGGTGTGTTCCTTTGTCTTCATGGTTCTCTCTGCGCTTTAAACAGAACCCTGAGACCAGTGGTTTCGCTAGAGATCATTTCAGCCCGTCATAATGAAGGACAGGGTCCAAAAAAATCCGTCATGAGCTATTTTTATCCGTCATTTTATTTTCACGTTTGAAATACCCTATAGGCTATTAATTAAACAATTGTATAAACAAAAACAGGCTTGATAACGTGCTTTATTAGCTGTTCGTTTACAAATGTACAATACATTTAATTTGTGATTATATAAAGTTGCATAAAAATCGCAAAACAATCGACAACTCTGCGTAACATTTAACCTCCATTAACATGTGGAACAAACACGTACAGGAGTTTGCCTGAATGCGGTTATTAAACCTTCTTTCGCGGCTTTGTGGACTTAAACTGAGCACTCGCCTGTTCATAATTGAATGTGTGCAGGGCTGGCGACACAGAGGCGATTGTCATTAGAGTTTGTGTGTTTGTCTCGGTCAGACGGCTTCGAAGTGCAGTTTTGATTTTATTTTGGAGACTGAAGCCGCGCTCAGCAGCGACACTTGACACAGGAATAACAAGCGCTACTTCGGCCAGAGTTTTGTAGTCTGGGAACATCTCCGCGTATGTGTTGATGAGAAGCTTACAGGAGTCCTTAAATGGCGGGTTACCTGAACCTGCAAGCACACGTTTCACGGAGCAAAAGTCCCGTACCATCCTTTCCTTTTCAACGAGTGAGACCGCTGCGTTTGGGTGCGCGCCATAAAAGTCAGCAAGGCGCTCGACAGCATCCAAGCCGTACTCCTGGAGCGCGCTGTTCGTGTTCGGAAAACGAGAGGCGTTGAGGACAGTGTCGAGGTCAGAAATGTGGCTCACATCCCCAGAAGGGAATCTCTTTTTAATTGACTTCATAATCTCACCAATATACTGCGCTCGTAAGGCGGAGAAGCCGTGTTCATCCACGTGAGTGAGCCGATGACCACAGAAGATGCCCTCTCGAAAGCACTCAACAAACTTCTTCTCCACATCCCCGAGGCCTTTTTCGAAGTCATCCAGATTGGCGAGGGTCATGCTCACAATGGGCTGAATAGAAGATATGTTTACGTCCTCTTTTTGAAACGTGAGATTCATTCGGTTTACAGTAGCCAAGACATCAGCAAGCAGGTGAGTTAACGCAGGGAATGCATGCTTCAGGAGTTGTTTGTGTAAACCTTTTGCAATCGGGCAACCATTCGCAGCTTCTTCTTCCAACTCCATGACCACACATGCCCAGTTGGCACGAATGCCTTTCACCGCTCTCTCCAGGGACAGCCAACGCGTAGCGCATGGTTGTTTTAAACTCAGCGCGTCACCTTCATTCATTTCCAGTTGTAGTTGGTGAAGTCTATGTGTGCGTATAGGAGAGTTTTTGTAGTAAGTGTACACGTTGTTCAGAGTTGTCACATAGGCACTGACTTGACGCACGGCTTTGGATGCGTCACGGGCTGCCAGTGCTGTTCTGTGCGCACCACAGTGTATGTTCAGGAGATAAGGGCAGTCATCTTGGCGTAACTGTTGAGCAACTCCAGCTTTTCGACCCACCATCACATTCGCCCCATCACTTCCCAGTCCCACTACGCGATCCAGAGCCACACCACGACCCGATAGAACTTCTTTAATTTTGGCTGTGATGCACCCTGCGGTGCCAGAGGACATGGCATAATTTCCAAGGAAATTAGTTTCAGGCTCTCCCTTTAGTTGGTATGTTAGGTAGATTATCAGCATTTTGTCCACTGTGATATTCGTGGTTTCATCCAGTATTATGCCAACAAATCTGCTGTCAGCGATGCGGTCATTAACAGTGTTGTTTATGGTCTGAGCTATCGCATCCTCCATTTCGTTCACACTTTGGTTGTGAGTGTACACGTGTGCAGCGTTTAAGTTTGGGCAGCCAGTGGACTGTAATAGTTCTATTATTTTTGGGTAAAGGTGGCTTGGTGTATTGGTGTTCGCCATGTGAAGTACAACTTTCAGTTGGGTTTTCAGAGCCTCGTTACAAGCTGCCTGTGACTGCGACACATGCTTCTCCATAGCTACAGTTTGGTTCAAAATACGAGATGCTTCCTTATGGCTTAAGCTTTTCTTGTGGTCATTTAATGATGATTTTTGAAAAGTGGGACAACCACGGACAAAGCCGTTGCTCATTTTAGCTTCTTGGCAAATTTGACAATACATTTTTCCATCTTTCATGGTTAGCCATGTGAACTCTTGCTCCCACTGTGACCGATACTCCCTTCGGGTTTCCTTGGCGCCTCGGTCCAGTGGACGAGGGGGTGAAACCGACGGATGTTGAATGGTGTCTTCATTGTCCTCCTCAAATGAAGGGGGTCTTTTTTGTCCCCTGCTGTCATTATTTTGAGCTGAAGCAGATCGCTGAAAAAAATCTTTTAGGCTCAACTGATTTGACATTTTTGCTAATGACTGCTATCTGTCAAATATGACATGTGACAGCCTGTATCATATAAACGGCGCTGGCGCCATCTAGTGGAGAGGACGGTCAACTACGACTCGCAATGTAAAATTTTAACTTAATTTTCAATCTTTCAAAATGACGGACGGCCTTCCAAATTTTACGTCAGAAAAAAAAAAAAATCCGTCAATGACGGAGAATTTTCAGTTAATGTAACCTCTGCCTGAGACTATCAAAGAGCAGGTGCATTTATACGGAGACTTGATTACACACAGGTGCATTCTATTTATCATCATCAGTCATTTAGGACAACATTGGATCATTCAAAGATCCTCACTCAACTTCTGGAGTGAGTTTGTTGCACTGAAAGTAAAGGGGCCGAATAATATTGCACGCCCCACTTTTCAGTTTTTTATTTGTTAAAAAAGTTTAAATTATCCAATAAATTTTGTTCCACTTCACGATTGTGTCCCACTTGTTGCTGATTCATGACAAAAAATATTTGTTATATCTATGTTTGAAGCCTGAAATGTGGCGAAATGTTGAAAGGTTCAAGGGGGCCGAATACTTTCGCAAGGCTCTGTGTGTATATATATATATATATATATATATGTATATATGTGTGTGTATATATATGTGTGTATTGCTGTTATATATAATGTATAAATGTAAAGTTGTGTGTTTCAGGCACTGGGAAGACGATGGTGATGGACATGTTTTATACTTATGTGGAAACAGACCAGAAGAAAAGAGTTCATTTCCATGGTTTCATGTTGGACGTCCATAAAAGTGAGACCAGTGAGCGAGAGACCAGAGAGAGAGACCAGAGAGAGAGACCAGAGAGAGAGACCAGAGAGAGAGACCAGAGAGAGAGACCAGAGAGAGAGACCAGAGAGAGAGACCAGAGAGAGAGACCAGAGAGAGAGACCAGAGAGAGAGACCAGAGAGAGAGACCAGAGAGAGAGACCAGAGAGAGAGACCAGAGAGAGAGACCAGAGAGAGAGACCAGAGAGAGAGACCAGAGAGAGAGACCAGAGAGAGAGACCAGAGAGAGAGACCAGAGAGAGAGACCAGAGAGAGAGACCAGAGAGAGAGACCAGAGAGAGAGACCAGAGAGCGAGACCAGAGAGCGAGACCAGAGAGCGAGACCAGAGAGCGAGACCAGAGAGCGAGACCAGAGAGCGAGACCAGAGAGCGAGACCAGAGAGCGAGACCAGAGAGCGAGACCAGAGAGCGAGACCAGAGAGCGAGACCAGAGAGCGAGACCAGAGAGCGAGACCAGAGAGCGAGACCAGAGAGCGAGACCAGAGAGCGAGACCAGAGAGCGAGACCAGAGAGCGAGACCAGAGAGCGAGACCAGAGAGCGAGACCAGAGAGCGAGACCAGAGAGCGAGACCAGAGAGCGAGACCAGAGAGCGAGACCAGAGAGCGAGACCAGAGAGCGAGACCAGAGAGCGAGACCAGAGAGCGAGACCAGAGAGCGAGACCAGAGAGCGAGACCAGAGAGCGAGACCAGAGAGCGAGACCAGAGAGCGAGAGACCAGAGAGCGAGAGACCAGAGAGCGAGAGACCAGAGAGCGAGAGACCAGAGAGCGAGAGACCAGAGAGCGAGAGACCAGAGAGCGAGAGACCAGAGAGCGAGAGACCAGAGAGCGAGAGACCAGAGAGCGAGAGACCAGAGAGCGAGAGACCAGAGAGCGAGAGACCAGAGAGCGAGAGACCAGTGAGCGAGAGACCAGTGAGCGAGAGACCAGTGAGCGAGAGACCAGTGAGCGAGAGACCAGTGAGCGAGAGACCAGTGAGCGAGAGACCAGTGAGCGAGAGACCAGTGAGCGAGAGACCAGTGAGCGAGAGACCAGTGAGCGAGAGACCAGTGAGCGAGAGACCAGTGAGCGAGAGACCAGTGAGCGAGAGACCAGTGAGCGAGAGACCAGTGAGCGAGACACACAGCTGCAGTCTGCTTCTGTGCTCAGGTATCCACAGCTGCAGTCTGCTTCTGTGCTCAGGGATCCACAGCTGCAGTCTGCTTCTGTGCTCAGGGATCCACAGCTGCAGTCTGCTTCTGTGCTCAGGGATCCACAGCTGCAGTCTGCTTCTGTGCTCAGGGATCCACAGGTTAAAACAGTCTCTGCCCAAAAGGAAAGCTGGGAAAATGTCTCGATCGTACGACCCCATCGCTCCTGTCGCCGAGGAGATCAGTGAAGAGGCCTCTCTGCTCTGCTTTGATGAGTTCCAGGTACAGACACACACACGCACGCACGCGCACACGCGCACGCGCACACACGCACACACGCACACACGCACACACAGACACCCACACACACACAGACACATACACGCATACACACACGCATACACACACAGACACGCACACAGACACAGACACGCATACACACACAGACACAGACACGCATACACACAGACACGCATACACACACAGACACGCACACAGACACACATACACACACGCATACACACACACACACACAGACACGCACACAGACACACATACACACACGCATACACACACACGCACACAGACACAGACACAGACACAGACACACAGACACGCAGACGCACACGCACACACAGAGACAGACACACACACGCACACACAGACACCCACACAGACACACAGAGACACGCACAAGCACACACAGAGACACGCACAAGCACACACACACACACACACACACAAACAGAGATTGACACACGCGCACAAACAGACACACACACAACCACAGACGCACACACAGTCACAAAACAGAGACACAGACACACACACAGAGAGACACACACTGATATGCACACACATATATACTAACACACACACACACACACACACACACACAGCTACCCCCTGTATCTGAGACAGGGGACTTTAGCTCCTCCCACATGTGACGTCACATGACAGATAAAGGAAATGGATGACCACAGCCCCACAGTATTTATTGTTATTAGGCCCGAGCCCCAACCGGGGTAAGGGCCTATTGCTTTTCCAACGAGTAATGCCTGGGCGAAGCCCAGGCATTACTCGTTGAACTGTTTTAAGTCACAATCTCCGGGCTGCGCCCGGAGATTGTGACCTGCACGCGACGGCACGTGCCCAAGCACTGATAAATCCGTGCCGGAGGCACGGAATGGCTTTGTTCCTGCTCTAGTACACAGTGAAATGATTGAAGTCCTATTAAAGGGGGGTTCCTTCAACTGTTTTACGGACGAATGTCCGGGCGAAGCCCGGACATTCGTCCCCCAAGCCCGACGGCGCGTGCCCAGACACTGACAAAACAGTGCCGGAGGCACTGAATGGCTTTGCTCCTGCTGTAGTATACAGTGTAATGAATGGGGTCCTATGGGGGGGGTGGGTGACCTCATGATGGCGAGGTGATTGACGAGCGCGTCAGCGCTCGTCAATCACCGAGAACCCAATAGTTGCGTTCGTCTGGTCGTTCGCTTTAAAACGACGTATCATTTGTATTATAGGTTACTATGGAAACCTATATTGTTTTTGCTCGAAGATTTAAAAAACAAAATTCCTTATTATTTCTTTCTTTCTTTCTTTTTTCTTCTGCGCTTTGAACCTTAATTTGACCCCCTGAACATTGATGAAAAGTTGTGAAATTTTGCCCAAAATTCAGAACCGGCGAAAAATTTATTTTTTTGGTGTTTATTTTTATGGGAAAAAAAAAATGCCCAAACAGCGCCCCCTACAAAAGTCAGTTTACATTGCGCCTATGGGAGGGGGTCGGAGGTCAAGTTTGTCGTAGAGCCACGAAATTCGGTACACATGTTCCTCAGGTCAAGACATGAAAAAAAAGTTATTATGGCTCCGCCCCCTGACAAACAGGAAGCTCATTAATTTAATTGGAAAATGGAAAAATGAAAAATGATATTTTTCACACATGTCGGCTGGAAATTATCTCCTCCTCGGCCGCTTCACCGATTTGTCTCAAAATCGCTCCACATGGTCTAAACACATGTCCCATCTATTATTGAATATAGAATTTGGATCAATTAAACGTTGTCCGAGCAGAATGTGACATTTTTTTGGGGATTTTTGACAAAAGTAAATTTGCTCCCGTTTGCACAAACAAAACCGGATTTGCACAAAATTTTAATCCATTGTTCAGCTCCAGGGTCTAGGTCATCTGAAAGTGGAAATATTGAAATTGGCTCATTAGCGCCCCCTACAGACTATGTTAAAGTTTTACATGGGCTTTTTAAAATTTAGTTTTGTCAAAATGTTTGAAATTTTGCACATAATTCTGTTTTGTCATCTGGATTCAAAAAGTCAATGACAACATATGGTTATTTTTTACCCTGTTGCCGTGGCGACGACAAACATTCCCCTGTCTGTGTTTATGGCAAAATCGTTAAATCCCTGAAAACTACACATCGCTCAAACATCAAACCAGCCGCGGCCGTTTCACTAATTTGTCTGAAAATCGCTCCACATGGTGTCCACACATGGACCATCAATAGTTGCATATAGAGTTTTAATTAGTCAAACGGTCTGAGCGTGACAGACTCCCAAAGTGTGGTCATTTTCATAGAGAGGTGTGAAGTTCCCATGTTATCCAATGGAGACTGTATGGACACACTCACAGATTGTATGTGTAAACAGGAGCACATTCACAAAGTCTGATTTGCACTAAACTTGACTCTGTTGTTCAACTCCTGGGCCTAGGTCACATGACATTGTGAACAATGACATTGGCCCATTAGCGCCCCCTACAGGCTGAGTAAAGGTTTACATGGGGATACAGGTATTTAGGTTTTATGTTGTTTGATCTCATATTTGACCCACATAACAAACACAAAAACTCACCAAACTTTGCCAAAAGTTTTTTTCAGGCAAAACGTGTATCATTTTGGTGTTCTTTGGTATAACACTAATAAATTGAAATTGTAGGGGGCGCTATTGTACAACATTGAATGCCACCAAATGCACCTACAAAGTCCGATTTGCACAAAATTTGAATTGATTGTTCAACTCTCGGGTTTGGGTAAACTGAACGTGTAAATCATGGAAATGCAGCATTAGCGCCCCCTACAGACTGATTCAAGTGTTGCATGGGGAGAAAGAAGTTTTTCTATTCAGTAGAGACACACACAATCACTGATCATAGGCATTCAAAATGCACAGTGTCGCTCCCATCAGGGGGGCAAAAAAGTGGCGCGTCAGCGCCACCTCCTTTGCGCGGTGCGGCGAGGGCCGTTAGATGCCGCTTGCGGCTTTAATTGTTCTTGTTCTTCGTATGTTCTGACTTTATTATGATGGGATTATAGGTCACGGACATCGCAGACGCCATGATCCTGAAGCAGCTTTTTGAAAACCTCTTTCTTCACGGAGTGGTCGTCGTGGCAACGTCCAACCGGCCCCCACAAGGTCTCCACCCACCGTACATAGGGGCTGTAGACCCAGGACTGAGCTAGGACCGAGGCTGTAGACCCAGGACTGAGCTAGGACCGAGGCTGTAGACCCAGGGCCGAGGCTGTAGACCCAGGGCCGAGGCTGTAGACCCAGGGCCGAGGCTGTAGACCCAGGGCCGAGGCTGTAGACCCAGGACCGAGGCTGTAGACCCAGGACTGAGCTAGGACCAAGGCTGTAGATCCAGGACTGAGCTAGGACCGAGGCTGTAGACCCAGGACCGAGGCGGTAGACCCAGGACCGAGGCGGTAGACCCAGGACCGAGGCTGTAGACCCAGGGCCGAGGCTGTAGACCCAGGACCGAGGCGGTAGACCCAGGACCGAGGCTGCAGACCCAGGACTGAGGCTGTAGACCCAGGACTGAGGCTGTAGACCCAGGACTGAGGCTGTAGAGCCCTAACCAGAGCTCTCCCTCTGCTGCTTCCAGACTTGTACCTGAACGGTCTGCAGAGGGTGAACTTCGTGCCGTTTATTGCGGTTTTAAAGGTGAAAGTGAGATTTGACTGAAAATAAACAATATAAACATTGAAATGTAAATCATGAATGTGTTTCTCTGCAGAAATACTGTCAGACTCTGCGTTTAGATTCTGGGATCGACTACAGGAAGAGAGACCGTCCGTCGGCGGGAAGACTCTACTTCCTGTGAGAGAGCACACACATTTTTATATTGCACTTTTCAGGACACTCAAAGCGTCACATGTATGAGGGGGGAGGGGGAGGGGGTGAGGAGACGGAGAACCTGATTTTTCACACGGCTTCGATACAGTTTTTTTCCACTCTGGAACTCTCTCTCTCTCTCTCTTGCTCTCGTGCTCTCTCTCTCTCTCTCTTGCGCTCGTGCTCGCTCTCTCTATCTCTCTCGCTCTCTCTCTCGCTCTCTCTCGCTCTCTTGCTCTCGTGCTCTCTCTCTCTCTCGCTCTCTCTCTCTCTCGCTCTCTTGCTCTCGTGCTCTCTCTCGCTCTCTTGCTCTCGTGCTCTCTCTCTTGCTCTCGTGCTCTCTCTTGCTCTCGTGCTCTCTCTCTCTTGCTCTCGTGCTCTCTCTCTCTCTCTCTCTTCTCTCTCTCTCTCTCTTGCTCTCGTGCTCTCTCTCTCTCTCTCTCTTGCTCTCGTTCTCTCTATCTCTCGCTCTCTTGCTCTCGTGCTCTCTCTTGCTCTCGTGCTCTCTTTCTCTCTCTCGCTCTCTTGTTCTCGTGCTCTCTCTCTCTCTCTTGCTCTTGTGCTCTCTCTCTCTTGCTCTCGTGCTCTCGTTCTCTCTCTCGCTCTTGTGCTCTCTCTCTCTCTCGCTCTCTTGCTCTCGTGCTCTCGTTCTCTCTCTCGCTCTCTTGCTCTCGTGCTCTCTCTCTCTCTCTCGCTCTCTTGCTCTCTTGCTCTCGTGCGCTCTCTCTCTCTCTCGCTCTCTTGCTCTCGTGCTCTCTCTCGCTCTTGCTCTCGTGCTCTCGTTCTCTCTCTCGCTCTCGTGCTCTCTCTCTCTTGCTCTCTCTCTCGCTCTCTTGCTCTCGTGCTCTCTCTCTCACTCACACTCACACTCACACTTGTGTCTCATGTTTCAGCTCCAGTGAAACCGACGCAGAGTCTGTTTTAGACGCAATGTTTGACGAACTCGCATTTCAACAGAATGACAGTGAGTCACAGCTCTCTCTCTCTGGTCTCTCCCTGGTCTCCCACTCTGGTCTCTCTCCCTGGTCTCCCTCTCTGGTCTCTCTCCCTGGTCTCCCTCTCTGGTCTCTCTCCCTGGTCTCCCTCTCTGGTCTCTCTCCCTGGTCTCCCTCTCTGGTCTCCCTCCCTGGTCTCCCTCTCTGGTCTCTCTCTGGTGTCTCTCCCTGGTCTCCCTCTCTCCCTGGTCTCCCTCTCTCCCTGGTCTTCCTCTCTGGTCTCTCTCTCTGGTCTAAAGCCTGTCTTTTCCGTCAGTCCCGCGGCCGAGGATCCTGAACGTTCTCAACAGAAAAGTGCGTCTGAACAAAGTCTGTGGGAGCATCGCAGACTGTACCTTTGAGGAGCTTTGTGACCGAGTGAGTGGGGGCAGGATCAGGCTGTGTGACCGAGTGAGTGGGGGCAGTATCATGCTGTGTGACCGAGTGAGTGGGGGCAGTATCAGGCCGTGTGACCGAGTGAGTGGGGGCAGTATCATGCTGTGTGACCGAGTGAGTGGGGGCAGTATCATGCCGTTTGACCGAGTGAGTGGGGGCAGTATCATGCTGTGTGACCGAGTGAGTGGGGGCAGTATCATGCTGTGTGACCGAGTGAGTGGGGGCAGTATCATGCTGTGTGACCGAGTGAGTGGGGGCAGTATCATGCTGTGTGACCGAGTGAGTGGGGGCAGTATCGTGCTGTGTGACCGAGTGAGTGGGGGCAGTATCATGCTGTGTGACCGAGTGAGTGGGGGCAGTATCATGCTGTGTGACCGAGTGAGTGGGGGCAGTATCATGCTGTGTGACCGAGTGAGTGGGGGCAGTATCAGGATGTGTGACCGAGTGAGTGGGGGCAGTATCATGCTGTGTGACCGAGTGAGTGGGGGCAGTATCATGCTGTGTGACCGAGTGAGTGGGGGCAGTATCATGCTGTGTGACCGAGTGAGTGGGGGCAGTATCATGCTGTGTGACCGAGTGAGTGGGGGCAGTATCATGCTGTGTGACCGAGTGAGTGGGGGCAGTATCAGGCTGTGTGACCGAGTGAGTGGGGGCAGTATCATGCCGTGTGACCGAGTGAGTGGGGGCAGTATCATGCCGTTTGACCGAGTGAGTGGGGGCAGTATCATGCCGTGTGACCGAGTGAGTGGGGGCAGTATCATGCCGTGTGACCGAGTGAGTGGGGGCAGTATCATGCCGTTTGACCGAGTGAGTGGGGGGCAGTATCATGCCGTGTGACCGAGTGAGTGGGGGCAGTATCAGGCTGTGTGACCGAGTGAGTGGGGGCAGTATCATGCTGTGTGACCGAGTAAGTGGGGGCAGTATCATGCTGTGTGACCGAGTGAGTGGGGGCAGTATCATGCTGTGTGACCGAGTGAGTGGGGGCAGTATCATGCTGTGTGACCGAGTGAGTGGGGGTAGTATCATGCTGTGTGACCGAGTGAGTGGGGGCAGTATCATGCTGTGTGACCGAGTGAGTGGGGGCAGTATCAGGCTGTGTGACCGAGTGAGTGGGGGCAGTATCATGCTGTGTGACCGAGTGAGTGGGGGCAGTATCATGCTGTGTGACCGAGTGAGTGGAGGCAGTATCATGCTGTGTGACCGAGTGAGTGGGGGAAGTATCATGCTGTGTGACCGAGTGAGTGGGGGCAGTATCATGCTGTGGGGTGACTGGTACTAAATGATTCAATCTCATGTTACTTATATAAAATACTAAAGATTGTCTTTCTTTCTCCCTCTGGTCACTCCCTTGTCTCTCCTGGTCTCCCTTTGGTCTCTCTCTCTGGATTCTCTGGTCTCTCTCTGGTTTCTCTGGTCTCTCTCTTGATCTCTCCTGGTCTGTCTCCGGGTCTCTCTCTCTGGTCTCTCTCTCAGCCGTTAGGAGCCAGTGATTACCTGGAGATGTCCAGACTTTTTGACACCGTCTTCATTCGTCATATTCCATTTTTAACATTGAACAAAAAAACTCAGGCGCGACGTCTCATTACCCTGGTGGACGCCTTCTACGACCACAAGGTACGGACTGAGGACTGAGGACTCGGGGCTGGGGACTCGGGGCTGGGGACTCGGGGACTCGGGGCTGGGGACTCGGGGCTGGGGACTCGGGGACTCGGGGACTCGGGGCTGGGGACTCGGGGCTGGGGACTCGGGGACTCGGGGACTCTGGGCTGGGGACTCGGGGCTGGGGACTCGGGGACTCAGGGCTGGGGCTGGGGACTCAGGGCTGGGGACTGGGGACTGGTCCTGGTCTGGTCTCAGTGATTCCAAACCCTCTGGTCCAGGTCCTGGTCCTGGTCCAGGTCTGGTCTCAGTGATCCTAAACCCTCTGGTCCAGATCCTGGTCCTGGTCCAGTTCTGGTCTCAGTGATCCTAAACCCTCTGGTCCAGGTCCGTGTGGTGATCCTGGCAGATTGTCCTCTGGAGGAAATGTTTGTCGATGACGGAGATCAGAATCACGACGAGAGCCACGTCCTGATGGACGACCTGGGACTGAAGCGGGTGAGACACAAGACAATGGAGAGGGAATGGGAGAGCGGAGAGAGAGGGGGGGGAAAGAGAGCGAGGGGAGGGCGAGAGAGCGAAGGAGAGGGAGAGTGAGGGGAGGGAAAGATAGATTGGGGGAGAGAGAATGAAGTGTGTGTCGTTGCAGGACGAGGCCAGTGTTCTGTCCATCTTCAGTGCGGAGGAGGAGAAGTTTGCGTTCCAGAGGACTCTGTCTCGTCTCACAGAGATGCAGACACTGGACTACTGGACCCAAGGAGACCGCTCCAACCAATCAGCACGTAGCATCTGAGGGGGACCGCTCCAACGACCAATCAGAAGACAGCATCTGAGGGGGACCTCTCCAGCGACCAATCAGCACGCAGCATCTGATGGGGACCGCTCCGACCAATCAGAACACAGCATCTGAGGGGGACCGCTCCAACGACCAATCAGCACACAGCATCTGCACCTGATGACAACAAACCAGGAACATTCTCAAATCCACCATTTTGACCTGGAAGAGTCCAGAGCACTTTATAATAGGCCTGTTTCCACCATCTCTGCTCTGCCCTACTCTACCCTACTCTACTCTACTCTACTCTACCCTACTCTACTCTACTCTACTTACCCTACTCTACTCTACTCTACTTACACTACCCTACTCTACTCTACTTACACTACCCTACTCTACCCTACTTACACTACCCTACTCTACTCTACCCTACTTACACTACCCTACTCTACTCTACTTACACTACCCTACTCTACCCTACTTACACTACCCTACTCTACTCTACTTACACTACCCTACTCTACTCTACTCTACTTACACTACCCTACTCTACTCTACTCTACTTACACTACCCTACTCTACCCTACTTACACTACCCTACTCTACTCTACTTAAACTACCCTACTCTACTCTACCCTACTTACACTACCCTACTCTACTCTACTTACACTACCCTACTCTACCCTACTTACACTACCCTACTCTACTCTACTTACACTACCCTACTCTACTCTACTTACACTACCCTACTCTACTACTACCCTACTTACACTACCCTACTCTACTCTACTTACACTACCCTACTCTACCCTACTTACACTACCCTACTCTACTCCTACTTAAACTACCCTACTCTACTACTACCCTACTCTACTCTACCCTACTTACACTACCCTACTCTACTCTACTTACACTACCCTACTCTACCCTACTTACACTACCCTACTCTACTCTACTTAAACTACCCTACTCTACCCTACTTACACTACCCTACTCTACTCTACCCTACTTACACTACCCTACTTACACTACCCTACTCTACTCGACCCTACTCTACTCTAACCTACTCTACTGTACCAACCTGGGACAAACCGGTATCTGGGGAAACTGTCAGTTAGAACACTTTAGTACCAGCTCTGTTTAGTACTGGTTACACAGGACTAGTGGGGTAGAGTAGGGCTGGGCCGGGCCGGGCTGGGCTGGTGGAAACAGGGCTATCTTCACATGCACCATCTCCCCTGCAGTGTCCTCGTCGTCATGGAGATGCCCTGACAATTCCTATTTATTTAGTTCCAGGTGATTTTGAGGAGAATAAAGTGAGCCGTGTTGTTAAAGTGTGTCCACGGTCTCTGTCGGCACAAGTGTAGAGGAAGTTGTGGATTTAGAAACAACAGATCAGAGAATCAGACACATGGGAGCCACAGGTCAGTGTTGTAGACTTGGTTTGAAATGATTCATTTCTCAAAACAATAAAAACTAAATATTTTTATCATTAGAAGTTCCTTATTTCTTCCAATATTTGGTATGTTTTATTGTTTGTTTTCACAGAACGTACACAAATCAGATATTTCTCTTCATTATTATTATTAGTGTTTTTAAGTGATGTTTCAGCGTCACCGTTTCTACTGAAACCTTTTATTTATCCTGGTTCTGTGTGAGAGCGGAGGAGGAAGACCAAGGACTGAGCCTGTAGACCCAAGGACTGTAGACCCAGGACTGAGGCTGTAGACCCAGGACTGAGGCTGTAGACCCAAGGACCGTAGACCCAGGACTGAGGCTGTAGACCCAGGACTGAGGCTGTAGACCCAAGGACTGTAGACCCAGGACTGAGGCTGTAGACCCAAGGACTGTAGACCCAGGACTGAGGCTGAGGCTGTAGACCCAGGACTGAGGCTGAGGCTGTAGATCCAGGACTGAGGCTGTAGACCCAGGACTGAGACTAGTCGCTGTAGACTTCTGTAGACCACTCCTCTGGGGAGAAACCGGTCCAGTTCCGTCTCCTGTAGATGGTTTGGATCAGCTCCTCCTTTATAAAGAGATTAAGATGAAGAGGGTCCAGCAGGGGTCAGTGTTGGACACTGAGAACTGGACCGGGCCCTCTTGGCAGAGGTTTGTGCTCCATCTGTGCTCTTCTCGCCTCAATCACCTTTGGTTCTGTATTTATATTTTGATCAGGTCAGAGCTCTCAGGGAAATAATGGACTGGGTCTGAAACGTAAACAGCATTTTACCAACTACGTCACTAGTCCTAACACAGGGACTGGCCTCCTGCTGGGACTCTGAGGAGCACAGGGACTGGCCTCCTGCTGGGACTCAGGGAAGCACATGGACTGGCCTCCTGCTGGGACTCCGGGAAGCACAGGGACTGGCCTCCTGCTGGGACTCTGAGGAGCACAGGGACTGGCCAGCTGGGACTCACAGAGACTGGCCACTTGCTGGTCCCAGAGTCAGGACTTATATGATGGTATGATCTGATGAAGATGACGTCATTGGTTTCTGCTGCTACCGCTTTAAGCGCGCGGAGCGGGGGGTAGTGCTGTGGTCTGCGGCAGACGCGGTAGAAGCGGCAGAGGCGGCAGGAGCGGCAGAGGCGGCAGGAGCGGCAGGACACTGAATGAGATGTCCTCACGCGCGGAATCAGTCGTCGTGCGGGACACGCGAGGGACACCGCGCGGCCTGAGCGCGTGCCATTGATGCCGTACACGCGGCGGAGGATCACAGCTCTCGCGGAGACAAAGGTGAATAATGTTGCGCGTGAATATGCGTGTGAATATGCGTGCGTGTGGAGCGGTGAAATAGCGATACACAAAGTGCACGCGCCTCCGTGGGATACGCGTACGCGTGAACGTTTTTCCAGAGTGCGTTTACTCACGCACACGCGCTCCTCATTGGATCCAACCGTGACACATGAAGAACCCGGGCGTGTGCGTGTGTGCGTGCGTGTGCGTGTCCAGATTCCTTCAGGTGAGCTGAGGATGTCTGCAGCTCCACTCACTAACCCTAGGCCTCTTGTCTGCATCTTGTTAGCTGAGGTGCACAGCCGGGTCTTGGTCAGTTTGCAGTGGTCCATGCTCCTCCCATATCCAGATGGAACAGAACAGGCTTTTGTGACCTCAGAAAACACGTCCTGGTCTCAGGTCTCTGTCCTGAAGTCCTCCCACATTAGTCCTGAGATGACTGGGCCTCCTGCTAGGACTCTGAGGAGCACAGGGACTGGCCTCCTGCTAGGACTCTGAGGAGCACAGGGACTGGCCTCCTGCTAGGACTCGAAAATGTACAGGACTAAAGCAGGTCTAAAGCAGGTCTAAAGCAGGACTAAAGCAGGTCTAAAGCAGGTCTAAAGCAGGTCTAAAGCAGGTCTAAAGCAGGTCTAAAGCAGGACTAAAGCAGGTATAAAGCAGGACTAAAGCAGGTCTAAAGCAGGTCTAAAGCAGGTCTAAAGCAGGACTAAAGCAGGACTAAAGCAGGTCTAAAGCAGGTCTAAAGCAGGACTAAAGCAGGACTAAAGCAGGTCTAAAGCAGGTCTAAAGCAGGACTAAAGCAGGTCTAAAGTAGGATTAAAGCAGGATTAAAGCAGGTCTAAAGCAGGTCTAAAGCAGGTCCAAAGCAGGTCCAAAGCAGGTCCAAAGCAGGTCTAAAGCAGGACTAAAGCAGGTCTAAAGCAGGTCTAAAGCAGGTCTAAAGCAGGTCTAAAGCAGGTCTAAAGCAGGACTAAAGCAGGACTAAAGCATACAGGTCTAAAGCATACAGGTCTAAATCAGGAGGACATGAGGAGGCAGCCTTTCAGGTTAATGCTAAAATCTGGAACAGCCTCCTTGAAAATGTGAGACCGACTTCTTCAAATCCAGGTTGAAACGGTTCAGTTTCTGCAAACTCTCTTTAATGTGATTGTTTATTGTTTTAAAACCGTGTGCGTTTCTTTATCTCTTCTTTTTTTGCAAATTAAAACCTTTGGTCCCGTCTTCCTCAGCCCCGAGTCCTGGAGCATGGAGCCCCCCCCTTCAGAGCAGGACTTCGACCCGGACTTCGAGCCCCAGAAGCGCCCGCGGTCCTGCACCTGGCCTCTGCCGCGGCCCGAGTCCAACCAACCAGGAAGCGCCGAGAACCAGGTGATCCCAGAGGAGGAGGACGACCCGGGCCCAGGGGCGGGACATCCGGAGGCCAGGGGGGCAGGCTCCTCTGGCTCCGCCCCCTCTGCTGGCCCCGCCCCCTCCTCACAGCTGCGTAAACCGTGCGCTCGGAGGAACGCGTGGGGGAACCTGTCGTACGCAGACCTGATCACGCAGGCCATCGAGACCAGTGCGGACCAGAGACTCACGCTGGCCCAGATCTACGACTGGATGGTCCAACATGTCCCCTACTTTCAGGACAAGGGGGACACTAACAGCTCTGCGGGGTGGAAGGTGAGACCCGAGACCAGGGACCAGGGACCAGAGACAAGGGACCAGAAAGAGACCAGGGACCAGAGAGAGACCAGAGACCAAGGATCAGGGACCAGAGACCAGAGAGCTGAGTCTGCAGACCGGAGACCGGACTCTGGGGGACACAGAGTGAAAGAGAGGAGAGAGAACATTTGGATCCAACACTTATGAATTTGTCTTTTCTTGTAGAACTCGATTCGTCACAACCTGTCGCTGCACAGCCGCTTCCTCAAGGTGCAGAACGAAGGCTCGGGAAAGAGCTCCTGGTGGATGTTGAACCCGGACGGAGGAAAAGGCGGGAAAGCTCCTCGCCGTCGCGCTGTCTCCATGGACAACAGCAAACACATGAAAGGCGCCCGAGTCCGGGCCACAAAGAAGAAGGCGTCTGTGCAGGCGGACGGCAGCTCGGGCAGCCCCACCTCCCGCAGCAGCGACGAACTGGACGCCTGGACCGACTTTCGCTCCAGAACCGACTCCAACGCCAGCTCCCTCAGCGGCCGGCTCTCCCCCATTCTGGCCAATCTGGACCCAGACTCCAGCCCGAGCATGTCTCCCTGCCCCTCGGGCCTCTCTGACCTCCCCCTGAGCCTCAGCCACGGCCTGGCTGACGACCTCATGGACCACCTTCTGGATAACATTAGTTTGACGGCGTCGCAGCAGCCGCCTCCCGGGGAAGACGAGCTCGGCCCCAACGGACAAGTCTTCACGTTCCCGTGTGGGAGTCCCTCCAGTGGCTACGGGGCCTTGTTCAGCCCGAGCCCCCTCAGTCTGAGGGCATCTCCCATGCAGACCATTCAGGAGAACAAGCCCGCGTCCTTTTCCCCTCTTTTCAGCGAGGTTTTACAGGACGTGCTGACGTCTCTGGACTCCCCTGCTAGCGTCATGCTAACGCAGTCTGATCCGCTGATGTCCCAGGCCAGCAGCGGCGTGGCGATGCAGGGTTCCCGTCGGAACGCTGCATCGCTCCGTAAAGAGCCGGTGGCCACAGCGCGGCTCACGGTCTCCGCTCACATCCAGGAGCTGGAGCTGTTCGACCACTGCGACATGGACGCCATCGTCCGGAACGAGCTCATGGACGCAGACTGTCTGGACCTCAGCTTTGACTCCTGTAAGAACAGCTCGAGCTGAGGGGGCGGGGCCTGAGCGGAGGGGGCGGGGCCTGAAAAATGTCTCATTGATTCCGTTTTTGCTGTAAAATGTGACAATTACCACTATTATTGTTTTTATATTTTCTAATGTTTTTTTATTCGGTAGAAAAGGTGGAACAGTGTTCTGACCCACAATGCATCCTGTTCACTGCCCTCGCCTGGCCCCACTTTCACTGTAGAGTACTGTAGAGTACTGTAGAGTACTGTAGAGTACTGTAGAGTACTACAGAGCCGTGTAGAGTACTGTAGAGTACTGTAGAGTACTGTAGAGTACTGTAGAGTACTGTAGAGTACTGTAGAGTACTGTATAGTTGTGAAATCTAAAGCAAACGTGTCCAAACTGCGGTCCGCGGGCCAAATGTGTGGTTTTATCCGGCCCCTGCCTTCAGCTCCTGCAGTGCAGCACGACTGCACTGTATCAGCTGTTGCATTTATTTGAATAGACCCAGGACTGACACCGTGACATGGGCGGCACGGTGGCTGAGTGGATAGCACTCTCGCCTCTCAGCAAGAAGGTCCTGGGTTCGAATCCCGGTCGGACCAGGGCCTTTCTGAGTGGAGTTTGCATGTTCTCCCCGTGTCTGCGTAGGTTTCCTCCGGGTACTCCGGTTTCCCCTACCACTAAAAATATGTCCAATAGTTCTGGCATGTGCCTCCTGCACTGGCGACCCTGCTTCCATCTCTGTGTGGAGTGAGAGACAAATGCCCAAAATTAACAATTGTAAACCGCTTTGAGACTCAGATCTGCAGTGAAAAGGCGGTATATAAATACAAACTTACTTACTTACTTACTTACTTACTGAGGCTGTAGACCAAGGACTGAGCCTGTAGACCCAGGACTGAGGCTGTAGACCCAGGACTGAGCCTGTAGACCCAGGACTGAGCCTGTAGACCCAGGACTGAGGCTGTAGACCCAGGACTGAGGCTGTAGACCCACCTTTTTTATTTTGTATTCCTCCTTGGTATTGATGACATCACGCTCAGCAACCAATGAAATGGACCGAACCTCCTCCAAATGATCATGTGACAAATTAGATTCTACAAATATGTGTCATAAAGATGTGCCACACTCACAGCTAAAGACACACACACTGACACAGCTACAGACACACACACTGACACAGCTAAAGACACACACACTGACAGTTACAGACGCACACACACACACTGACAGTTACAGACGCACACACACACACTGACAGTTACAGACGCACACACACACTGACAGTTACAGACGCACACACACACTGACAGTTACAGACGCACACACACACACTGACAGTTACAGACGCACACACACACTGACACACACTGACAGTTACAGACACGCACACACACTGACAGTAGCCTAGTGTATACTTGCGCTGCTTACGTTAGCGGTTGCGGTGGACCTACGCAAGCACAATTTAATTTATACTCCTTGAGGAGTTTTGAGGAGAATGTTGTAATCCCACAACCAACCACATGGTGGCGATCTCACAGGAGTTTAGAAACCAAAGCGGTCTCATTTACGCTGCTTCAAAAACATGAACAAACCGAGCTGTTTGAGATCATTCCATGTGTTTCTACTGTAGGTTTATGTGATAGTTCTATGGACTCATTATTTCTTCACTCATTTAACTGTGATGCTGTGAATAAAGACACAGTTCTGTTGGAAACATAGTTATTATTAAATTGTTTTCAGCACAAACAGCAAAACAATAAAAGTGGTAAATATCTGAGACAAACATGAACAATTTATAAGTGCAGGAGGAATGGAACAGACACAGCTACGATTCAAACAAGACAGGAACAGTTTATAAGTTATATATATGTTAGATATAAGTTAGATATATGTTAGATATATGTTAGATATGCAACAGAACTCTAGTCCACAGTCTCCTGTATATCAGGCTCTGAGCCCAAACTGCTTTTCCTTTGGTTTCTTCGAAGCACAAAGCTCTCTGCTCCATAGTGCCTCGTCCATGTCCCTGCTGCAGCCGCTCCGTGCTACTTTCCAATACACACACACGGACCAATCACAGCGGAGATTCCTTGCGGCGACCCATACGTAGTTAGAACATTTCGATGCTGCGCGGCAGGCGACGTAAGGGGCTTGCGGTGACCAACGCGTTGCGCAAGTGACGTCACGTCACCTGCGTAAGCGCGAGTATACACAGACACACACACACTGACAGTTACAGACACACACACACACACACACTGACAGTTACAGACACACACACACACACTGACAGTTACAGACACACACACACACACTGACAGTTACAGACACACACACACACTGACAGTTACAGACACACACACACACTGACAGTTACAGACACACACACACACACTGACAGTTACAGACACACACACACACTGACAGTTACAGACACACACACACACTGACAGTTAAAGACGCACACACACACTGACAGTTACAGACGCACACACACTGACAGTTGAAGACGCACACACACACTGACAGTTACAGACACACACACACTGACAGTTACAGACACACACTCACACACACACTGACAGTTACAGACACATACACACACACACACTGACAGTTACAGACACACACACACTGACAGTTACAGACACACACACACACACACTAACAGTTACAGACACACACACACTGACAGTTAAAGACGCACACACACACTGACAGTTACAGACACACACACTGACAGTTACAGATACACACACACACTGAAAGTTAGACACACTCACACTGACAGTTACAGACGCACACATACTGACAGTTACAGAAACACACACACACTGAAAGTTACTGACACACACACACTGACAGTTACAGACGCACACACACACATTGACAGTTACAGACACACACACACGCACTGACAGTTAAAGACGCACACACACACTGACAGTTAGACACACACACACTGACAGTTACAGACACACACACACTGACAGTTACAGACACACACACACACACTGACAGTTACAGACACAAACACACTGACAGTTAAAGACGCACACACACACTGACAGTTACAGACACACACACTGACAGTTACAGATACACACACACACTGACAGTTAAAGACGCACACACACTGACAGTTACAGACACACACACACACTGAAAGTTAAAGACACACTCACACTGACAGTTACAGACACACACACACTGACAGTTAAAGACACACACACACACTGACAGTTACAGACACACACACACACACTGACAGTTACAGACACACACACACTGACAGTTACAGACACACACACACTGACAGTTACACACACACACACTGACAGTTACACACACACACACTGACAGTCACAGACACACACACACACACTGACAGTTACAGACACACACACACACTGACAGTTACAGACACACACACACTGACAGTTAAAGACACACACACACACTGACAGTTACAGACACACACACACACACTGACAGTTACAGACACACACACACTGACAGTTAAGACACACACACACACTGACAGTTACAGACACACACACACTGACAGTTACAGACACACACACTGACAGTTACACACACACACACTGACAGTTACACACACACACACTGACAGTTACACACACACACGCTGACAGTTACACACACACACACTGACAGTTACAGACACACACACTGACAGTTACACACACACACGCTGACAGTTACACACACACACACTGACAGTTAAAGACACACACACACTGACAGTTAAAGACACACACACACACTGACAGTTAAAGACACACACACACAGCTTTTGTGCCATAAATTCACAAATAATGATTTTTCTTGCTCTTTGTCTTAAATCTGTTTATTTCACAGTGAAAACATGAGTGTGATAAAAACACATCCCTCTGTCTCTGTCTCTGTTCCACACAATCTGACACCGAGTCACAGCTGCCCTGGGGCACACTGACAGAAGTGAGGCAACCAGTCTGTGCCATCGGCCCCTCCCACCACCACCAACCATTCACACACACACACACACACACACACACACACACACACACACACACACACACACACACACTCTAATGTGGGGGAAGTGTCTTGCCTAAGGACACAGCCACAGATCGTCACTTCACAGTCGCAGCTGCCCCACTGTGGCACCTGCTGTTCCCAGAGGTCTCCCATCACAGAAATAACTAAAAGATTACTAGATAGATTACTTAGAAATAACCAGGTCCTGCCCTGCTTAGCTTCAGAGGTCTGACAGGATCTGGCTTTCACCTGCAGGGGGCGCCACATCTCCACTTACTGTACTTTTCAAAATCCTGTCTTGATAAAACGCAGGTGTGTTCAAACAAAACGATGACGTTAACTTTTACTTTCTTTTTCGAGGGGCGTCCAAACTTTAGTAATGTTAGTTCACAGACAGAGACGAAGCTGGAGTTGGCTGAATGACTCACCTTTGATTTCTTTGTAGCTGTGTTAGCGCCATAGATGGAAACGTCACCAGTAAATGACCACTGTCCTCTTGAAGCCCGTACTGAGGCCCTCAGCAGCCACCGGCGGACTGAGACCGACACCTGTGCTCCAGGATGGATCTGAGGAGCCACTATGAGACCGACACCTGTGCTCCAGGATGGATCTGAGGAGCCACTATGAGACCGACACCTGTGCTCCAGGATGGATCTGAGGAGCCACTATGAGACCGACACCTGTGCTCCAGGATGGATCTGAGGAGCCACTATGAGACCGACACCTGTGCTCCAGGATGGATCTGAGGAGCCACTATGAGACCGACACCTGTGCTCCAGGATGGATCTGAGGAGCGGCTCCAGCGGAAAACATGCCATTGTCGCCTTTTACCATTTATGCTTCTATTTCATAGAAAAACCCCCAGGGGTTCCCACGACCCCCCGGGGGGTCGGGACCCCCACTTTGGGAACCATTGCTCTAGGCCACAGGTCTCAAAATCAAGGCCCGGGGGCCAGATCCAGCCCGCGAGACCATTTCCAGTGGCCCTTGAGATG